GCCCCGGGCCGGGGCGGGGGGTCGCTTGCCCGGGGATCAACGCTGGAGCGGACGGAGGTTGTTTGCCCGGGGACCGGCCCTGGACCGGGAGGTCGCTCTCCCGGGACCGGCACCGGGATAGGGACCGGTCCCGGACCGGGGGATCGCTCTCCCAGGAACTAGCACCGGGTTAGGAACCGGCCCTAGACCGGAGGTCACTTGCCCGGGGACCGGCACCGGGCTGGGGACCAGCCCTGGACCAGGGGTCAGCGTCCTCGGGGACCGGCATCAGAATGCCGACCAGCCCTGGAGCAGGAACCGGCACCGGGACAAGGACCGGCCCTGGACCAGCGGTCACTTGCCTGGGGGCCAACACTGGACCGAAGGTCACTTGCCCGGGGACCGGCACCGGGCTGGGGACTGGGGCTGGACCGGGGTCGCTCACCCAGGGACCAGCATCGCCCCTTGGGCACTGGGTCCACCGAGAGACTGGATCCAGCCCAACACCGGCACCGAGCCCCGGGGGTTTTGGCACGACCCAGGAACCGGGGATGGAGGGCGCCGAGCCCCGCTCGGGCACCGTGGAGCTGGGTAGGAGGGATGCAGGGGGACCCCAAGACGGGCAGCAGCGCCCGACGAGCCTCGAGCTGTGCCCCCGCATGTGCCAGGCCCTCGCCCTCAACATTTAGTGGGATGTGGCCACCACAGAGATCCCACCGGTTCCCCTCCCTTTTGGTGAGGTAACGAGCCCGCTGCCGGTTTAATTTTATTTAATATACTTATTTTTTGGAAGCCTGTTGCCAAACAACCCCCATGCTTTTCCATCAGCTGCAATTTTTCCCTGCCAGAACATGTGGGGTAAAAAAAACCCCAACAATCTGGCCGAGTCGGGTACCGCACATGAAGTTTCTCTTCCCCTTTCTCACTGCGGCCTCTCCCCTCCCCTTGGATCAGCCTCATAGCCATCAGCAATGACTTTGGGGGCCATTTAGTTATTTTTTTGGGGTGGGCACCAGAAATTTCTTAGCTGCGGTGCAGTCTTGGAGCCGGCACCTCGGAGCAGAAAGCTGCTCTGGCTTTGCAGGGTGCCTGCAATTGCTGCAGCTTCATGAAGAAGTGAAACTGCGAAGAGGAGTGGGATGGGCTAAAACTACCAAAAAAGGCTTTATTTTTTGTTTTTTTCTAAACTTGGAGCAACCCCATGACACTTCTCGGTGCTGCAGCTGCCCCTGACTGCTCACATCCTCTGTGCTGCTCTAAAACCCTCTGCAAACCCCTCCTGCAAATGCAGGATGGGGCCCCATGGAAATGCTCATCCCGCTCCGGAGGGTGTTGGATCCTACTTGGAATTCTCCGGGCTTCATCCATCAGCTTTGCTGGGAGCAGCATCCCCGTGCCCAAGCCCAGACCTCATTTTTTCCCTATTTTCCTCCATTTTCCTGCATTTAATTCAAACAAAAGGGATAAAGTCCCTATGCAGTGGGGGAACTGGAGTGGGTATTGCTTGGGGCACCCCCCCCTCCCCTCCCCTTTTTTTTCCAGCTGGTCTTTAATTAACGCCGGGAGTGATGATGAATCAGCTACAGTCTTGTGCCCCGTTTCCACTCGTGACGCCAGGAAGGCGCTTGCTCACCCCACGGTTTGCCGGGTCGGCAGCTTGAGGAGGTGGAAACACCGATTAGTGCTCCCCCAAAACTCAGCTGATCTTTTTAAGACACATCCTTGGCTATTTTGCAGCTATTTTTGGTCACTTCCCTACTGGCTTGGCTGCGCTGAATCAGCTCACCAATCCAGCAAAGAGTCCCTGTTTGGTGCTGAGGGGGTATTTTGCTGGGGAAACAAGCAGAAGCTACCCCATTTTTCCCCTTTCCCATGAGTTTCTAAGACCCCACAGGTTAAATAGTGCTGGAGGTGTGTGCGCACGTCCAAAATACGCATCTGCATCCCAAGTGGATTCAACCTCGCCTCATGCTGGCTCTCATCCCCCTTATCTGATATTTTTCTCTAAAAAGCATGAATTTTGAGGCGGGGGAAGAAGAGCATGGCTAACACTGAGGCTGGAGATGTCTGAGACATCCCTGCCAGGCCGGGCTTTGCCAGCTGGGATGGTGACAGGCCACCCATCCCTGTCCCCATCCTTGTCCCACCAACCCTGACCTCTCTGCTCGCTTTATCCCGCAGGTATCGGGGACTGACGCTGGTGCTGACCTTCCTCTGCTACACCAGCTACCACCTCTCCCGAAAACCCATCAGCATCGTCAAGGTTAGCTCCAACCTCGCTGCAGCTGCAGGGAGAAGGAGCATGGGGACGGGGGACGGGGGGTTCTCAAGCATTCCGATTTCACCTCTTCCTTCTCCCCACAGAGCCAGCTGCACCCCAATTGCTCAGCCTTGGGCCCGAACCCCCACAATGACTCCAACAGCAGTACGTGGTGCAGCTGGGCACCCTTCGGTAAGGCTGAGCCCCCCCCCAGTCATCCCCCAAACTACCGTCATGGCAGTCGAGATGGGCTCCCCCCGTTGTGGGTTGCCCATTGCCAGGTTGTGGCTGGAGATCTTGGCAGGGGGCCGGCTGCTCATTAGGCACCCGGAGGTAATTAAGCAACGTGTGTCTGCCCCATGTCCCCGGGCCAAAGGGCAGCAGCAGGTGGCGAAATGGGGGCCAGGGTGGGACCTGGTCCCAACACCGATGGCACCTGGCCATGCTTTGAGAGCCCCCCCTGCCCGGGGAGGAGGGTTTTGGGGACAGGGGACAAGGACGAGCCAGCGGCCACAGGGTAGGAAAACAAGATGGGGGCCAGGCTGACGTGGCCCAATATCTCTTTTCCAGATGGGGACAATTACAAGGAGCTTTTTGGGGCGCTGGATAATGCCTTCCTGGTGGCCTATGCCATCGGGATGTTTATCAGGTACACAGGTGCTTTGCACCCCTTTCCCTCCGCACACCACTTTGCACCAGTCTGCCAGGAAACTGGTTTCCATTGGGATGGGGTCATGCTAATGGGAAAGCAGCCAGGTGCTGGGATCCACTTGGGATTCGGGCACTGGTTCTGTGATAACGCCCATCGGCGGCATCATCCGTGACGGCTCCTGTCTGTGCTCTTCCCTCTCTCTGCAGCGGCATTTTTGGGGAGCGCCTCCCCCTGCGCTATTACCTCTCGGGGGGGATGGTGCTAAGTGGGCTCTTCACCGCGCTCTTCGGCCTCGGCTACTTCTGGGGCATCCATGTCCTCTGGTACTTCATCGTTGTGCAGGTGCGTCCATGCTGGAGGATGCCCAGGCTCTGGATTTCACCACTGTGGCCTCATCCCGGTTTTTCAGTGGCTTTCAGGGATCAGGGTGTCCCAGTTTCCGAGGGGGAGAATGCTGGGCATTTCCACTCCCTGCAAAACCTGGTCGCATGTGGCGTGGGTGCCGAAACCACCAGGCGTGCCCATCTCACCGAGCAGGGCGGGCGGCCGGTTTGGCAACACCAGCCGCTCCCAATTTAGCCACGGGAACGATGCAAACGGCTCTGGGGTTGCCCCAGCGGGAAAAAAAACCAACCCAAACCAAGTGTTTTCTCGCCAGCTTTGGGATGGGGGTGGCTATCTTTGAGCCCTGCTGCCCAAAATGGCGCAGGGGCTGTGCTCCATGGAGCAAGTTGGCGCTCACCAGGAGCCAACACTGCCACGTGGTGCTGCCCATCTCTTGCCAGGTCTGCAACGGGCTGGTGCAGACGACCGGCTGGCCCTCCGTCGTGGCGTGTGTCGGGAACTGGTTTGGGAAAGGAAAGTGAGTGTTTGTCCGGCGTGTCCCCCCTCGTCCTCATCCCTGTCGGCCCCGGCAGCCACCCTGGTGATACCGACCCCGGCTCTGTCCCTGCCAGGAGAGGTTTGATCATGGGCATCTGGAACTCACACACCTCCGTCGGCAACATCTTGGGGTCGCTCATCGCTGGCGTCTGGGTTTCCTCCGCCTGGGGCCTGTCCTTCATCGTGCCCGGCATCATCATTGCCGCCGTGGGCATCATCTGCTTCTTCTTCCTTGTGGAGTGTGAGTAGCATGATCCAGGACACAGCAGATGACCAGCACAATGCCAAAATCAGGGGGACCACAATTTTTCGCCTTGCCTGTCTCCAAGCGTTTTTGGCAACCCCAAATACTTATTTCCAGTTTGTGGTGAGCAGGGACATGGACCCAACCACCACAGGGATGCTCAGCTTCCTTTGGGGTCATCCAGGCAGGCTCAGCCCCTGCGCCGCTCACTCCTCTCAGCTTGTCTTTCTAAGAAAGATTTGGGAAGCCCTTTGGGATGTTACTGGGTTTTTTCACTGCCGGGAAGTGGATACCCAGAGATGCACCCCAGCCCTGGGGTGTTCCCACCCCCACATTTCTCCCCTGCACCGTGAGATGCTGGAGGGAGAGCAGGTGGAGCGGAGCTGGTCCAGGCTCTCAAGGGATCTCCTTTCTGCCTGCAGATCCTGAGGACGTTGGCTGCAGTCCACCTCTGCATCACGTGAGTTAAATCGATTCCCAACAGGCTTGTGCTGGGTTGGGTGGTCACTCAGTTTACAGCAAAACAACCAGGGCATTGGTCATAATATCAGAAATTAGAGCGATGTTCAGTTATCACAGAGGATGCTTGTTGCTATTCCAGTGTGAGCTTGTTGCTATCCTCTGGGTCACATCCCAGCAGTGAATCTGACGTTTCAGGCCCTTCCAGCAATGAGAGCCACATCTCCTGCTTACACCTTGCTTTTAGATGGCCTCTGACGAGGAGGATGCTGGAGGAGTGACCACCAATGAGAAGGATCCCGAAGCAGTCACCTCCAACGAGGGGCCGCTGAGCATCTCAGGCCGGAGCAGCACAGATCACTCTGACAGCCCCACGGAGCCCACCGAGGAGCCCGAAGCCATCAGCTTCCTCGGGGCACTCCGGATACCCGTGAGTCGTGGGATGCCCCTTGCATCATGATGGGGATGGAGGAAAGAGCAAAGCGAGGGCAGCTCACCTCATCAATGGGGTGTCCACCAGGCAGAAAACTGGGGAAAAACCCACCATCTGGAGGAGTTTGGGAGAAGGAGGCTCCTCTGATGTCTTCTCTCCTCCCAGGGCGTGGTAGAATTCTCCCTTTGCCTGCTCTTTGCCAAGCTGGTGAGCTACACCTTCCTCTACTGGTTGCCCCTCTATATTGTGAACGTTGGTGAGTTTCTGGGGACAGCGAGGCAGGAGCGAGCTTGGCAAGGGGAGCATCTTCTCACCCCTCTCCTCTCTCTCGCAGCTCATTTTGGTGCCAAGGAAGCTGGGGACCTGTCGACCCTCTTCGATGTTGGGGGTATTTTAGGTTCGTCACGTACCTGGGTGGAGGGGATGGATCGGGGATGATTTGGGGAAAATCTTGGCTTTGAGGGAAAGTCCCCTCCATGGAGCACTGCAGTGAGGTTTATTCAGTGTTCATAGCACTCGGCAGAGAGCAAAGGCCCCTCGCTTTTATTTTGCCAGCCAGGTGACCATCACACCTTTCCTCTGGTCTCGTTTGCTCAGGCTCTTCTTTTTCTTAGATAAGTAATACATTTTGCAACCATGGAGGGGACCAGAGCTGCATGCAGGTATAGGGAAACCATCTGTGGGGAGAAAGTGGTGTAGATAAATCAAAACTCTTCACTCTGATATTATTATATTTAACCTTGGGGACATCTTGCTCAAAAGTTGGGGGATGAAAGAGCATCACAGCACAGCATCCCATTGGATTTTTGGGCTAAGCTGGGGCAAAGCTTTGCAGCTGGGGTGGCGTGACTGACACCTGCAACTCCTTCTTGCAGGGGGGATCTTCGCCGGCCTCATCTCTGACTACACTGGCGGCAGGGCCACCACATGCTGCGTGATGCTGGTCGTCGCTGCTCCCATGGTGCGTTGTCACGTGGGGAAGAAACCCAGTCACGAGGGTTTCCTCTCCTCTGGCTCCTTTGAGTCACGGCTGCCTTCCTCTTCCCAAGTGCCTGGGATGAGCTGGTCATGCGCTTGGCTGAGATGAGAGATGGGATCGAGCCACGTGCCCAGATGTTCCCAGGGTGGACATCCAGATCTGGAGGCTGGGAGGGGATTGTAGAGTCCTTGACAGCTAAAAAAAATCCCTTTAGGGGTTTTTAGAAAAAAATACCCTTAGGGGTTTTTTTCTCCATCATGCCATAACCCTGCTCTGTCTTAAAGCCTTGAGGGTCTCACTGAGCCAGTCCAGCTTTTGTCTCTTTGCTTGGCATCCCAAAAGCCCCCATGCCGACAGCCTCATTCTCTGCCGGTGCTTGGCTGGGATGTCCTTCCCGAGCACCTGCACGGAGCTCGTTTGGCTTTGCTGCCGCAAAACCGCGGCTAATTAGCTGTAATCCAAGCCTGGCTGGCTCCGGGTTGTGAAACTCTCCCCTCTGAAGAAGCTGGCGAACATTGAAAAGCAGAGAGGCCGCGTCATGTCCACGTCCCCCGATAGCACCGGTGGGGCAAATTACCGTCTGGCTTCAGCCGGCGGGGAGGTGTGCGAGCCTCGCCGGGCCATAAATCGCGGCAGCACCTCTGTTTGCCAGCTGCCAGGTATTTCATCTGGCAGACAGACAGCAGGATGCGGAGCCAAGGGCATGCTCGGCTCCCCGTCCTGGCTGGTGCTCTCCTCTTCAAACGCTGCGCAGAAGGGGGGTCTGCGAAGCTTGGCGCCGGCAATAATGCAGGTCCCCACTTTCTCCATCCTGTCCCTGGGGTGCTGCTGCAAGGAAAACATTTGGGAAAACAGCTGGAATAGCCATAACTGGTTCATCTTGTGTCTCTTTTCCAGCTGTTCCTGTATAACCATGTTGGCCAGAATGGCATCGGCACATCAATAGGTGAGGAGCTCCTCAGTGCAGCCGGCTCCTGTCACTGAAGGGGTGATGGGAGATGCTGTGGGCTCACCTGCCTTTATTTCTCCTCTCGAGCCAGTCTAGGATTTGGGGGAGGATGATGCTGGATGAGATCTCCTGGGGAAAATGGGAGATGAGCAGGCAGTGGATGTGCAGGACAGCGATGTCCGCACAGGGGCTGGGGACGATGGACCCGACGTCCTGCTGCTCCCTGCACTTAAAGATTTAATCTCTTCCCGGTTACCTCCGTGGCTGTCTTGTTCCTCATAGCGATGCTGATCGTCTGTGGCGCTCTAGTTAATGGGCCCTACGCTCTCATCACGACAGCGGTTTCGGCAGATTTGGTAAGAGGCACAGCTCAGACCCCACCACGCTGCCCTTGCTCATCCAAAGGCTGCTCCCTCTTTCCTGGAGGGATGTCTGCTGGGATTTTTGCATTTTAGCTTTGTTTTCCAGTGCCTCTGAAGCCCAGCAGAGATGGGTAGGGCTGTCACACTTCGTGCTGTGGTCCACACGCTCCCTTAAACACAGCTTTTTTTTGTGTTGCTTTTTCATCTTGGCCACGTGACTGCTTCAGCCCTGCTGCGTCTCCCTCTAAGCGCAATCAGAATGGAAAAATTTGCTGGGATATCACCTGGGATTGCTGGCTGCTGTTGGCAATCCTGGTTCTGCTGTGGTTTGGCTGCAGGCAGCATCCAAGTTTGGTCTTCCCATCCACAGCTGGGTCCAATACATGGAAGTTGCTGCCCGGAGTGTGAACGGCCTCACGCTAGGACTTGCTGGCTGTGGACCCCAAAGCTACTTTTCCTCCTTACATTTTACTCCTCCGTCCCTACAGGGAACACACGAGTCTCTCAAAGGAAATGCCAAAGCCCTTTCTACTGTCACGGCCATCATTGATGGCACAGGATCCATAGGTATGTACAGCTGGGGGATGCCAGGCGCCTATTTCCGCCCAGCACCGCGGTGCTGGTGGGGTCCTGGTCCCCTCTCACCCATGAACAGGGCATCTCCTAATGCGGCTTGTGTGCCCTCGCAGGTGCTGCCCTAGGGCCGCTGCTCGCAGGGCTCATCTCCCCCACGGGCTGGAATAATGTCTTCTACATGTTGATAGCAGCCGACGTCTTGGCTTGCCTGGTAGGTCCCTCCTCGGCAGGACTTGTTTTGCTACCCTGGATATTCAAGGGCTCCCTTTTAGTTGCCCGCTCGCCAGCGGAGGGCAGGGATGGTCCTCAGGAGACAGCCAGGCACAGGGCAAATTGCAAAGCCCTCCAAACCTTTGCCTCCATTCACTTGGCTTTTCCCAATGACCTCCTCCACATACGGTTTTAGTTCATACAGTCTTCCCCAGGAAAAGCCTTAAAATTTATCTCAGAGATGGAAATGCTCATGCCAAGGCTGGTGGCTGCAGAGCCGTCAGCCCCGTGGCAATCATCCACCTTTCCTCTCGCAGCTCCTTGCTCGTGTGGTGGTCAAAGAGGTCCGTGGGTGGTGCGGCTACATGGCGAGGAAGAGAGGGTATGTACGTACCGCCCCGGGGCGGCCTCTGGTCCCGCGATGCCAAAACACGGCGCCGGTGCCGCTCCGGAAAGACGTTTGTTATCCCTTGCTGTCGCTGCTACATCTCCATGTGGGCATCACGTCAGGCTTCGTGAGGCCATCTGCCTGACGTCTCGCTCCTGTGGGCACAAAGAGACATTTCCACCTCGAGCCAGGGCAGCACCCGGGGGATTTTAGCCATCCGCGCCTCGCAAAACTCTCTCGGTCCTAAACACGGCATCCTTGTGTCTTTGTAGCTCTAGCGTGCAGCTAACAGAGTCAGTGCTGGATGGGAAGTAGCTCGGTGTGAGTATCTCCACTTGGAGCCCCAAGGATTAAATGCAAATGCAAGCCTGATTCGCCCTGATTTCGAGTTTCGCTTGGCAGGCTTAGCCTAGAAACGGCCGCTCTGCTGATAATTTAAGGGCCGAGATCGAGATTTGGGAATCAAAGGATTAAATCACGATGGCCGGGGAAGATAGTGCAGACGGGCGGGCAGCGCATCCTTGTCTCCAGCTTACTTACGAGATGTTAGCCCAGATGCCCGATTGATTGGCATTGATTAATGCACTTGAAATAGCCGAATTTATAGGCTGACTTGCCCACCTGTGCTAATGAGCTTGATTACACAGAGTCCAGGCTTGCTAATCAAATCCATGGCCAAATCACTGCAGTGAGGGTGTAAGTAATCTCCAAATCAGCACTGGTCCGTCTCCCAACTGCCACCAAAGCCCCCACACAAGCACTGAGGGGGAAAGGGCTGCAGCCAGTACAGTGGTGGGGGTGCCAGATCCCAGACCCCCCCATGAAAATGTTTGGTCCTTTATGTCTTGTGTTTGCAGGTGAAAGACCAATAGTCTGGGCCTCACGCTGCGGTAAGTGTGGCCCGAATCTCCTTCTCCAGCCACCGGTGGAGGGCTGTCAGACTTCGCTCTCTTGTGCTGGGGCTGGCTGGGGCCAGGACTGTCCTGGCTGGGTTGACACCATCCCCGTTTGCACCAAAATCCGGCTGGTTTGTGCTGGTGGAAGCAGCTGGCTCAGTTTGTGGAAATACTGCAACACCTTAGAGGGCTTTGGGGAGAACACTGTCTCCAGAGCAGCTTGCGGAGAGGAGGCGCAAACACTGGGGGTTTTTTTTGGGTGGATGTTTCAGCTTTGGCCAGAGACGAAACGGTGGCTGGATCACCTCCTTGTGCCTGCTTCTCCTCTGGGCTTGCAGTGCAGATGGGGCTGGGGTTTCCAGCAGAGCCGTTTTCCCTTTCCATCTCCCCGGCAGCTCTGCAGCACCTATCATTGATCCCAAACACCTGCTGAATGGCACCCACCACGCTCAGCCGCTCGCTTCTCTCCCCACAGGTTTAAGGAGTTTTGACGTGCCCCTCATGAGCCGCCCCGAGCTGAGAGGCCTGGAGGGAGGAGAGAGGCTGGGGCACGCCGGGAGTGCGTTCATCTCGGCAGAGCCGAGGCACGGCCTCAGGCACAGCCCCACGGGCTCGTACCGCCACCGTGGGTTTGCTTTGGAGGGAGGCAGCAGCGAGGAGCAGTCCGAGGGCCCTGGCCAACTGGTTTTCTGGGCCGATTCTTTGCCGTCGGCCACTTTCTTAATAAAAACATGTGAAACCAGTGCTGCCACTCCATGCCCTTTCATGGTGGGGCTCGGCCAGCTCTGCGTGAACTTGAGGGTGGTGATCGCGCCCTTCTTGCTTTTCTCCACGTGCAGCCTCTCATTTGCAAGCCTGCCCCATCCCGGTGCTTGGTATTTCAGGATATCGGACCAGAAGGACTGCACCAAATCACTTAAGGCACTGCCTCACCGACCAAATGCCGCTTATTCTATGTAAAGAACATCCCCATGCTTTTCACTGAGCCCAAATTAAGCTGATTTCGCTCCTCATCTCATCCCACTGCAAAAAAACCCCCACAACCCAAACCAGCATTTTTCCTGATTATTACGATTCCTAATTCATACCATTTAGCCCCAAAGAAGGATCCGTAGCTGTGCATCAGCCCCTGCGCCACAGCAAACAGCTGCTCGCACGCTGTGGACACTATTAGTCCAGCGTGGGCAGCTGATGGTCTTCGTTAGATGCCTCCTAATTAGGAGGAGGCGTGCGACAGGCGCCTGGGAGCCCCCGGGAGGTTAAACCGGCGCCGCTGGCCTGCAGGCCACGCGGGCTCCCCTGGGCAGAGGTGGGTCTGGGGGGCCCCAGTAGCGTCACTTGATTAAGGTGGGGGCCAGCTGTGTGGCCAGCTGTACACTACACTCATGGGGGGGCCCCCAACTTTGATGTGTGAGGAGCCAGGGCACACGGGGCGTTTGTGAGCCGTGGGGTGTGTTTCCCAGCCTGCTTGCCATAGAGGGATAGCGCCCGGGCAGGCTCTGGCTCTCCGCCCAGGGGAAAGCAGTGCTGGGTGCCAGGGGCTGCGTTTATGCCTGGTATAAATCTGAACTCTAATTGACTTCACCTCCTTGGATCTTAACCTGAGGAGAAAACATCTGGGCCTGATGTGATTTTATTAAGTGCTGATTTCATCAGCGAAGGGGAAAAAAAGAAAAAAAAAAAAAAGGAAAACTGCTGGCCAGTTGGATCAGCTCCCTGTAAACCCCTGCAATGGGATGGAGCAGCACAGGGCGAACAGGCAACTCAGAGTGGCGGCTGCACGTTTGAGGTGGCTGGATGGCAATGGCCTTTGGTCCCCTCCACACTGACCAAAGATGCTCCACGGGGCTTGAAAACTCGCTGGTTGCCTGCAGATCCCTGGGGGAGAACGCAGGAGAAATGTTGGGGCAGGCACAGAAAAGCAAAATCCCCAACTGCCGCTTTTTCCCAGGGAAATAACCCCTGCCAGGGCCAACCCTGATGGAGCCACAGGGAGAGGTGTCACAACAGGGTCTGTCCTCAGCAGAGACGACGGGCTGACACCACAGCATCCCCAAGCTGCATGGCTCTGGGCAAATGCAGCCTCCGGCAGCACAAGGGTCAATGATGCCAGCAGAGATGCCGTGCACTGGGCTGAGAATGGTTATTTCGGTGCTTGTGTGACCAAGCTTTTGCTTTGCTTAATTGCCATCCACCTTGTGGAGGAGGACGGGGCGGGTTTGAAACACATTTTCAAGCAAAAAATCCCACAAGCCCTGACACATGCAGGGGCTTATTGCAAAAGCAAGTTGGTTGGGTTTTTCTTCCCCCTTCTTTCCTCCCCCCTCCCCCGCCTGTTCTTTCAGCTGCTCATAGTTTTTTCCGGGACAAATTTAGGCCTGGGCCATGTCCCACTCATGTTTGGAAAGTCTGAACAGCCTTGGCTGCGCTGCCGGGAGCGAGGAGAAAGGGCAGACGGCCCACAGCAGTTTTAAACTTAAAAAAAATAAGGAGCCAAATGCCAAAGAAAACCCCAGATCTCATTGAGATTTTAGAGATTGAGGGGTGGGCGGGAAGGCAGGGAGGATCCCCTCGGTTTGCCCCAGCCAAAGGACTGTTTAAATTGAGCAGAGCTCCTCTGGGAGAAGTCTGCAACTCACCTCGTCTTACTCCTCCTCCACTAGAGAAGGGGCCAGTGCTTTTCCCCCTGCCACGAGCCCCTCCGTCACAGCGTCGCAGCGAGGGGGCTGTGCAAGCTAGGAGAGCACGAACATGCGTCCGCTGCTGTCCTGCGGATGGGAAAACATCATGCCTGAAATGAGCTCATTAGGAGCCTGTTTGGTAAACACAGAGCTTGGGTGTTTTTCTATAGATGACACCACGGCCCCCACCGCAGCAATACCGTTTCAGCTGAGCTTTGCCGGGAGGCAGCCTGGGAAAGGGTTGCACATATTTTGGAGGAATGCTGTTGGTCCGCCGGGCTGCTGTGAAGGTGAAGAGGTGGCTGGGGCACGGTCCGCAATTACCTATGCAAGGAGCAGCCGGCAAACGCTGAAGGGCTTTTTAATTAGCAGCCAAAGGCGAAGCGGGATTCAACAGCAGGGAAGCTGAAGTCAGCAAAGTCAAGGTGGAAATAAGAGGCCAGCTTTTACCAGTGAGGGTAATTAAGTGCCAGCAGAGCGCAGCACGAGGCGTGAGGAATTGCCGTCATTCAAGGACCTTAAATCAAGGAGAGGAGTTTCTCCTGCAGACGCTTGCTCTCCCTCCATCCCCACTCTGGCACCACTCACTGCCTGGCATCAGGCAGGAGGGAGCAGCTCAGCAACCCTCAGGCTGCGTGAGCCTGTGACGAGCTGGGTGCCAGCATCCCGGTGCAGGAGCATCCATCCCTGCCTGTTTCTAACGAGCCAGGCAGGGAATTTAGGGGAGAAGAGGGCTGTTTTCCCACCTGACCTGAAAGCAGTTTGGCTGCCCTCCTCCTGGCGCTTGCGGTATCTTGTGCAAACATCCCTTTTGGCACGGCAGGTTTCTCTCGCTGGGATTTAGCACCATTTTTTGCCTGCACGGGGCTGGCTCCTTGGGACACAGAGCACCCAGCGCTCCTACCCTGAAAGAGGAAAGCTGGGATCATTTGCTCGCAGTTTTGGGAGAAGGCTGGGCCAGAGCAGGGCTCCTTGGCTATAACATCTTCTGAGCTCCCAACACCTTCGCAAGCAACTGAGAGGTTGGGATTTAAGCCAAACCCGCCCTCCTGCTACACACTAATTGGGGAAAAAAAAAAAAAAAATAAAAATCAGGGTGCTAGACAGAGGCAGATGTGCTAGCAAGAGGTTATCCTCCAGGAGCCGAAGGTTTGGGTGGGGGACAGCAGCAAAAAATCACCATTTGGGGCTCGTTGGAAAGCAGCTCTGGCTCATACCAATTCCTTGACGTGGTCTTTCCTTTCCCAAAAATAAACAGGAACCGTCTGGAAAGCCCCTGCTCGGGGAGGAGCAGAATTGCCCAGAATAAATAAATACACGGAGAGAGCCCGGGTTGAGTTCATCCAGCCGGTCATTCCCCACTGCCAAGGGTGGTAAAGGATGAGGATGGAGCTCAAAATGTCTTGGGGGGAGGGGGGCGAGAGCCCAATTAATAGGACTTTCGGGAAAGCACTGAAATGGCCTCCTCGTGCAGGAACCACCATCCCCCTCCTGCAGCGCAGCTTTCCGCTCTCCCCGAAATACTCCTCGCACGATGAGCCTTTTGACTGATTTTAGTTACAAATAGATTAAGGGGACAGAAAAAGCAAGTATCTTGGGTTTACTTACAGCATGAAACTGGAGGAAGCTTCACACTTCTGCTTTCAGAGTTGGGTTTTTTTGGTGCCCCAGCTGCTTTTGCCATGGTTTCCCTGTTCATTGGACTCAAAGCCTGGCAAAACGCCGCCGTCTCCGGCTGGCACGGTTTGCCACCGTGGCCTCACCGAGGCTCTGTGAACCAGCCCGCTGCTCTCGTACAAGCACAGGGAATAAAGACATGGCAGGCATGGAGCCGGAGCGAGCTGCGAGACTAGCTTCGTGTTCATAAATGTTATTAAGATCATGAATTAAATATGAATTTTGTTTCAGGCGTAACTTCAAAATCACCAAGAGACCTGACGCGCTTGTGTTGCATAAATGCTCGGCGTGTTCCTTAACACGATAGTTCGACTCCCTTGGACATAGGCTTCAGGATAGGAAGGGACTGAGCATTTACAGTGGCTCGAAAAGCAGATACACCTCTCCTCTGCCTTTTTTTTTGAAATGTACTTACATGTTTTTAGCTGACCGAGTTAGGGCTCCTGGGTGCTGGGGCATTTTCTGCAGGGGAATTGTCATCTCCGAGCCTGCTACCTCTGCCTTATTAATCTTTCATGTCCTGATAGCGACATTTTTGTGACTGACAGCTGTCAGGACAGGGCTGGAAGAAGCCAGCCGGTTCTTTTATTTACTGTTCACCATCTTCAGTTCAAAATTTAAAAAAGGCCAAACCCCCTCGAATCTCTAAAATGGGGAAAAACTTAAAAATCTGTATGAGAACTACGAGTTTCTTGCCCTCAGGTTTTTGGCTATATTGCCCCTGAACACAGCTCAGGGCTGCGGCACGGTCTCACGCTCAGCTTTAACCTCACAGCAATACCCGCTGCCTGCTCAACCGTGAAAAGCTGAGCAGCTCCATCTCTCCGGGGCTGAAAAACGCAAGCTGTAATGTAACTCACCTCACCCTGCAACCACAGGGCACCTGTGGGAGCCTCTCCTCTGTGCAATATGGATGGTAAAGGCTCCTTCCCTTTGCGGAACGGTCACACGATGCTCCGGGCCACTGAAATGCTTTTCTCCTGCAAGCATTTAAAAGCCTGGTGAGATTTCATGCAAGAAAATAAACCATCGCTATTGAGGGATGGCTAAGACAGCACAAAGCAGTAATTATTGCTAGTTAAGTACAGACACCCAGCCTGTGAGAGCTGCTGCTATCAACAGATTGATTTGCAGCACAGGCAGGAGGCTGAGGTATCTGCCAGCTGACAGCTTGGCCCAGCCTCCCCACTCCACTTCAGCAGGGCTGCTCCCCCTGGTTTCCATGAAAAAATAGGGAGATAAATGGGATTTGACCCCATCGCTGCTGCTGAAATACTTAAAAAAAAAAAGTATTCCCCGCCCCCCCCCCACCAAGAGGAAAGGTATTGCAGTCTAGTACCGGCTTCCGCCACTGATCTGCACTAGCGTGAGCAATGGTTTTACATTTCAGGGTAGCAGAAACTGTAAGCCTTCGGCTCCCCACCCAGGATGACAACTTGGGGTCCCAACACACATGGGAAACACTCAGGTATCAGCATGGCCCTTGAAAAACAAGAGGGTTTTTTCATGGGCTGGCAGGATTGTTTAGGGCAGGGAGGCGAAACCTGGCTTTCCTCCCACATCCTCGTGGAGGAGAGTTGGAATTATTTTGCGTGTTGTTCCCTCCCCACTCCAAAGCCTCAGGTTTCCAGTCAAAGGGACTGTCCCCAATAATCCACAACCACACGCTGAATTTCAAAAAAAACCCACGTCTGCCACAGGAAAAGGTGGTTTTCAGAGTCACTGTCACCAAAGGGTGGCAAAAGGTGACGTTCTTGGAGAATAAATAAAGACCGAGTCAGGGTTTTCTCAAGAGAGTTTTATTAAACCAAGGTGAAAAAGGAATGGTAACAAACCATCTCGGTTCAGTTCAATTCATTGAATCAAGTGTAGTACAAAGTACATGGATTTCAACTCTCCTGCAAAAGAGAAGAGAAGAAAGGTTAAAACACCTTTGCAGCCTGCAGAGGCTTGAACCTCCCTGGAGAGGAAGGCACTCGTGCCCAGTCCAAACTTTGCTTTTAACGATGAAAGACGCAGCACTGGGTGCAAGCAACACACTTCACTTGCTTCACTGGCTCTTTCTGAGCTTGGAAAAACCTGACACATTCACCTCCAAAACAGCCTCCTGGTTTCCCTTCCTGGTTTATTGCCATGAAAATGGGATTTCCTCTTTGCAGGGATTGCTGTGTCTGGCTGCTGCTAGCTGCTGTGGAGCGGTTTGGCATACACCGGTTCCACGAGGTGGTAAATCAGGAGCAGGAACAGGCACCCAAGTAAGACTAGGCTCATCACGGCCAAGAGGATGAAGCGGCCGATAAAGAAGGTGTCTACGATCTGCAGTGAACAGAAAAAAACCACACGTTACAGCCTCGGTCTGCTCTGGGAGCCCGGAGGGAGCATACCACATCCTAGAAAAGAGTACTGTCAGAGAAAATCGCTGCAGGAGGAAAACCTTTAGTGTTTTCCCTGGTTTCTCCCCTCGCTTTTCATTCCTGATGTGGGCGCTCTCTGTGGTAAGCACGGTGTGTGACAAATGATTGAAAGAAGAATCCCTTTCCTCTGAAAAAAGCCACTCACGGGAAAGCTGATGTGCAGGAAAGGAGCAGCACAGTACCGAGCACAGGGAAGAAACATGAGTCAAAACCTGCAGCAGCTCTCCCTGGCCACAAAACTCCCAGCACTGCAAGGAACTGCACACAATTCTTCCCTTTTAGAAGGGAAATAGGGGGGAGGAAGAAAAAAAAAGATTAAAAAAAGAAGATACAGCAGCAAGGCAAGACACAAGAAGCCAACTGTGAGGAGGTTGGTTACAAAATCATCCTCTCGGCTCCTGAGACTACTCCAGAGCTTCGCTCACCCCCGGCTCAGTTTTATAAATCACATTAGCACATGCTCAGCCTTGGTGTTGCTGCAGAAAGAGTCTCTTGTGAGTGAAGTGTTGGCTCCTTCTGCACGTTTCACTTTTTAATTAGCCAATTAGCAGAGTTTCGGTGCAGAAAGCCCAGGTCATGTATTATTGATAATCAGGGCAGGTCCAGTCCAATTGAAGATCCAAAAAAAAAAGCTTTCCAATTCTGTTGGCCTCCCGGGCACAAACACGCACTCAGCTGCCCTTCATCTCCCTTCCAACCTTTACACAAGCAGGTCCTACGCAAGGCAGAGAAAAGAAAAAACCTTACAAGTATCTTTAGTCGGGATTTAGACAGATCAAGATCTAGAAGAGCAATAATTAATGTGCATTTATAATAGAACAGAGGAAACGGCACCTAAAATGCCACAAAACTTTGTGTATTCAAAGCCCAAAGAGCTCTGGGAAAGCTCAAGATGGCAGCTTAGACAGTGGTCGCGCAAAATTGGGGGAGATGCCCGTGCCTAACAACACAGACCAGGGGCTGTCTAAAACCACAGGTGGCTCTATCCTTGAGTGCAGTAATAATCTACAAGAGAGCTGAAGAGCAGTTACCAGGCTTTAAAATAGAAAAGAGAGCTGTAGGGAAGTGAAAAGCTGCAGAATTAGAGGGGAAAATTATCAAAACTACCTGCCACATGGCTATCAGCATGCTCCGGGGTGTGTTGGAAGATGGAGGCAGGTGGGAGCACGGACAGCCGAGGACCAAGCTGCAAAAGGGGATGGCAGAGGGGGAGCAGAAGCTGCTGGAGTTCCGGGCTGAGCTGGGAGGGATAAAATTACGAGTGCGATTCCAGCACAGAACCCCTTGGGCTTGGGGATGGGAGAATGGGAGCTAAACCCCACGGATCACGTATAATGGCACATAAATAAGGGACTTTATTAAAGAAATAGATCCCTGCTCCATGAGTGACACAGCCTGCACCGACAGGAGCCTGCACCAGACATGGAGCTGCAGCAGACTGAAAAGGCAGCACAGGGCCATCCCCGGGGCCTCAGGGCAGCCCTTGGGGCCCAGCCCTCAGGTAAAGGCCCATCCCCGGGGCCTCAGGGCAGCCCTTGGGGCCCAGCCCTCAGGTAAAGGCCCATCCCCGGGGCCTCAGGGCTGCTGCTGGGCCCAGCCCTGAGGTACAGGCCCATCCCCGGGGCCTCAGGGCGGCAGCTGGGGCCTTCGCCGAGGTAACGTCCCGCCGCCCCCGGGCCCACTTGGCCACGCAGGCCCCGGCGTAAGCTCACCTCATCAGCGGCAGCTGCGGCCGGGCGCTCGTCCTCCCGGGGGAAGAGCAGCAGCGCGGCGGTGAGGACGGCGGCTCCCAGCGTCACCAGCACCACGGCGAACCTACGGGGAGAGGCGGGCGGAGCGGCCTCAGCACCGGGCCCGGCCTGGTCCCACTCTCCCAGCCCTCCCCTTCCCCGCTGCTCACCGGGCCCGGCCGGCCGCCCGGGAGAGCGCCAGGCAGAGCAGCAACGCCAGGCCCCACAGCAGCTGCAGCACCAGCACGCCCGGCCCCGCTCCCAGCGC